AGAGCTCCTATTCTATAAACCTGATTTGCGTAAAAAAAAAAAATGGCATAATTACCCACTGACAAGCACAAAAAACTTACGAACTGTTTGACGATGTCTAGACCTTCCAGGAACGGGCACTTAAAGTAGTGGAAGTAAGTTTTGTTCCGCTTTCCGTGGCACCAGATGTTTTCACAGACAACTTCCTCAGTGTTCACCTCCTCAGCAGCGTTCCTCACCCACACCAACTCCTTCCTACACCACCACTCTCCACCTGTATCAAAAATCATCCATTGGGTTAAATTGGTTTCTCAGGTTTTAATAATTTAATATTAATTTCAAAATTAAGTTGAAAATCATAACAGTGAATTATGAAATGGTGGGGGATCTGTCCTCCAAGAAAGTTAGGTTAGGTAAGGTTTGTCAGGAAACAGGACTAGTGTTTCCTGATGCGAGTCTTGGTTATATGATGACCCACTGCTGGAGCTTTTGGTCATCTGACCGAGGCCTTCCGCTAGCTTACTGGTCCACCCATTTAAAAAGTATGGGAGTGGTGAGTGCCACCACCTGTCCGCGAAGGCAGGTCTGTAAGGTTAAGATAAGATTGTTCGGATTCTTTACCCGGAGGGTTAGCCGCCTAGGATAACCCGAGAAAATCAATGCGGCATCGGGGTCTGTCTGTCTCATTTCCATAGGAGTTTTATGTAAAACCTGGCTACTTGAGACTTATAGTCGCTATATTTTACATGTACACCATCAGTCAATAATATTTTAACTCCTATTCATGTCTCGTTTGTTTAGTTTCTCTACCAAAATCATTAAAATCATTTCATCTAGCTTTTCAAGATCCTCAGTTTCGGCAATAATTTAATTGGAAGTCAAAGAACCACTTACTTTGGAGTATGATTATTCAGATGTGGGCTCCATGCTGGCTCTGCGTATTCCATGTAACAAACCTTACATAAGACGTCTACAATGTTCTATATATTTTAGTGTGACGTTTCTGAGCCTCACGTGTGTTCTTGATATTATCCCGTTAATATGTACCTCTGGTGTAATGTTTACTCTCACACCTTGGAAGGGGGTGCATGTATGTATTTGTGGGAGAACGGATAAACTAAGCTATTTTAAGCGTGTGTGTGCGAGAATTAAGGTGTACATGGGTTGGTGTGGGGAGGTAAAGTGCACACGAGTTAGTGTTTGCAAGACTTAAAAGTGTACACGGGATTGCGTGGCCGAGGGTTGAGATAATGTATACGCTGATTTCTTATTATAGTGAGCCCTCAAGTCCTGTTTACCTGGAAAGTTAAACAATATCATGAGAAAGCATCCCTTTAAAAAAAGATGACTTGGTGCTGGTGAAAGACTGAAGAAACTGGAGCCACTCTTCCCCTCTTCACATAAATATGTTAATAATAAACATTACTATGAAAACAATTATAGCATGTAGCTGTAACGCATATAGAAATAAAGAGAGGCGTGTTACGAGTAAATAAAGAAAAAATGATAGAATTAAGTAAAATAACGAAGAGTGTTTGGACTCATTAACCCACAATGGAAATAAGTCATTTTGCTGGACTTTATGGGTTTATTTTAAGCAATTTAAATGTGTTACTATAAAAGACATTTGTAAAAATCTAAACTTCTGTAAGGAACGTGAATAAACTTACTCACTCGACATTTACATGCATGATAGACTAAAACACATCCTTAAAAACACTGGTTTACATTTTATAAACATTTATAAGCTATTAAATATTTATAGCAGCTATACTTCAGATCCATACATAGTTATGAAATACTCAGATATTTATAGAAAGAATGATGCTGCACGAAAATAAAATGAAAATTTAAATGTGACCTTTAAATTCACAGTGTACGTAATAGCTTACCTTTAATTGAGAGGCTTTGCAGTTTACAGTTGGAGATGTTTTTGTGAAGGTTATACTGAGCTTCGATGACGAGGTCCCTCACAAGGCATGGCTCATGAGATGTCGAAGTGACTCCCCTCGCAACCGTGTCGTTCGTACCCAGGATCAGCCTGGTTGTCGTCGCCTGTGCGATGTCGTAATGCAAGACTCCATTCACTAAGACAGTGGAAATATTTTCCATTGTCACTGCCATATTATTCTCAGTCACTGATGGTCCCACTACTTCGTAAATGTACCTATCATCTTGGAGAATGCTATTGTTGGCTTCCTCGGGTCGGGAGGAATCAAGGTCACCATCAGTCGAGTTCGTTGTTTCGAGAGGGAACGTTGTACCAGCCTCACTTCCAACGTCGTCACCTTCAGCAGGAGAACCCTCACTCTCACTCACCACATCCCTCGGTAGAGATACAGATGTCAGCACTGCCACCAGAACCACCATATGACTTCTCGCCTGCATAGCACTTGCGCAAGGAATAATTTTCCCACTTTTTTTCGTTCTCGGCTGCGAATTTAGATGTAATATACTTGGAGTTTACGTGTTTAGTGGCTGAAACTCACATAGGCAAGATCTTTGCAAGGCATCCACGTAGCTGTGGAAAAAAAAAATACCTGCGGTTAGTTAATGTAATGGTCAGCAACTGTTTTGTTGAATAAGTAACGGGAGTAGCGTCCGTAACCTCGTCATCCAGGCGAGACGGCTATCCCGGGAATGCCTTGGGTGTTAAGGCCAGTTTGCTCTCTCACAAGTTACAGCCACCGTCCCTCCGCCTCCTCCCGTCCAACGTCCACCCTCCACCGTCCCTACCACACCAAGTCTACCCACCCCAACCCTCTTAACGTAGTGTATCCGCGACGCTCCGAGGTTAACATCAACACAAGGCCGCCCTTATACGCATAAACACAGCTTATTTTTCCTTATTTCGCTCTCAAACTTACACTTTTTTTCCCTGCAGTGTAACAGCCACTGAACCCAAACCCAACTTACATTTTAAAATATCACTGCGACTCACATGAGTCGCTCACCACTAAAAAATAAATTAATTTTGACGCATTTGTGGCGATTCCACGAAGTGTATAGTGCGACTGGCTCGTGTACATACACACGCAACTCAGCGAGGAAACTCGTAGTATCTTGGGCGCCGCACGTGACGTTATCGTAAAAACCACACGATAGCCATTTCCTGCGGCTATTCTAGGACTCTCTAGTGAACTCACACTGCCTCTTACAGTACCACCACACACTGCCTCTTATATCACAACCATTCACTGCCTCTTATAGTACCATTAAACACTTCCTCTCATTGTATCACCACACACTGCCTCTTAAAGTACCACCACATACTGCCCCCCACAGCACAACCACACACTTCCTCTTAGAGTACCACCATACACTGCCTCTCACAGCACCACCATACACTCTCACAGCACCACCATACACTACCTCTCACAGCACCACCATTCACTGCATCTCACAGCATCACCACATACCGTCTCTCACAGCAACACCACACTGCCTTTTGCAGCATCGCCCCACACTACATCTTATAGCACCATCACACTGTCACATACTACCTCTCATAGCACTACCACCACCACCACGCAGCACTCACTGCCACACACTGCCTCTCACAGCACCACTACACACTACCTCTCACAGCACCAGCATACACTGCCTCTCACAGTACCACCGTACGCTGCCCCTCACACCACCACCACACATTGCCTCTCACAGCCCCACCACACACTGCCTCTCACAGCCCCACCACACACTGCCTCTCACAGCCCCACCACACACTGCCTCTCACAGCACCACCACACACTGCCTCTCACAGCCCCACCACACACTGCCTCTCACAGCCCCACCACACACTGCCTCTCAAAGCACCATCACACGCTTAATCAGGCACTACTGATTAAAATTATTATCGTAATATACAAGGAAGTGTTAAACCCGTAACAGTCATACAGAGCGTGAAAGGAACGGAAGCTGTGAGAGAGTAGTCAGGATAAATCTATGGAAGAGTTGTTCTGACTCCTTGGATGAAGAGTCCTTCAACTACATGAGCGATTAAGGTAATTTATTAATGGTGTAAGCAAACCAACAAAGACCGGGACCTTAGTTTTCGTAGTGGTTAAGTAGCATGAGTCTGTCAGGCAGGACAATCAGAGGGAGCAGTATCGCCCCTCTACCACACCTCCTACTGAATGACCCATACGGGTTTAGCTCTCTTATGCAATTCGATACCAGTGTGCATAGACTGCATGAATATGTTATCGCATTCTGCACTCAGGTGGGAGATCAACCCAGAAAAACTAAAGAAAACCAGTCAGCCTGGCTGAATTATATGTCCTGCAAAATTTTAGTTTAAAAATGTATATTTGGGCTAATTTGTTGCCAGTCACTATATCAACTAAGCTGACGTTTACCAAAAGGTACAGAGAACCATTTTATTTTTATTTATTTTTTTTTTCATAGAGCAAGATTGGACAATTATTTTTGCTGACTGGCTGCTGCATGCAGTAGTGGTACACTTCGCGGGCCCTGCACTTATGTGGACGCAGATGCACAATATTATTACAGATTTGGCAGGTCTCGCTGCAACATCCAGCAGAAATCAGCCAGTTGGATTTTGTTCATCTTCGTAGCATGTCTGCATTGCTGCAACGCCTTAACGGAAACTACCTCATTGTTTGTCATTCACGTCGGATGAGTTGACAGGATAAAAAAACACTGGTGTGAGTAGAGGAAATGCAAGTTGAATGACATATTACAGCCCAGTTGCTGTTAACTTTGCAGTAGTGCCTTGTAGTCGACATCTTTGTGTCTGCCAAGAAACTTATAGCAGACGTTCTTGAAGGAACAACAAACTGTTAATTCCGTGTCGTTCACTGCCATCTGAAAATCATTGTCAGCCATAAGTTGGCGAATTTGTAAACTTACAAACACACCTTCCTTAATCTTGGCCTCACTAAGTTTGACAAACTTTTCTGACAAGTTTTGGAGTACTGGATGAACTTCGTTCATTGTCATGACCAGTTATCAGTCGACACCAAGTTCGTGGCTGCATGTCAACTTTGGCTTAGTTAACAGCGCACTTATCTCACGTACTGAGTGCCCGTGGTTCGATCTCCTGCACTGGGTGGAAACATTAGAAATGTTTCCTTACACCTGCTATCCCTCTTCACCTAGCAGTAGGTAGGTACCTGGGTGTTAGTGGATTGTTGTGGGTCGCATCCTGGAGGACAAGATTGAAGAACCCCAGTAGAAATAAGAGACAGTCCTCGATGAGGCATTGACTTTCTTGGGTTATCCTGGGGTGGCTAACACTCTGGGTTAAAAACTCAAACGAATCTTATCTTATCTTATCTGAGTTAAAAAAATCTAACAAATCTTATCTTAAGGTGACTTATTGCATGATTAAAGTTTTCAGAAAAACACGAGTTAGGCATTAAATATTATTCGTTTTCTCTTTTTTATCAAGATAGAAAACGTATCTAGTGGAAACTATTGTAGATGCAACGTAACGCAGTGGTACCAGTTTAGTTTAACAACAAACCTTGTCATGACAGATTCCATGGCAGGATGAAAAAAAATATTTAACAAAAGGAATAAAATGTATTTTTATGTAGCGATAAAGGATTGACATCAATTATTTGACTATATCAGGGCATATAATCACATAAATCATTTAATATTACTCACTAGGTCAAGGCATTGGATTAAGCCGGTGGGGAGAATTGGAGCTGCCTCATCGATACCATGCCTAACCCTTCTAGGGTAGGGTAGGTGCCTGAGCCCGAGCCTTTAGCTCATAAGACTGTCATTCCCATTTGCCCCCTTGGGGCGGGGGTGGCAGACCAGAGAGGCCTAGCTTGTGGCTAGGCCTGGGCCTGGGGACAGTTGGTCCCAAAGATGAGGGGGTACTTGTGCCTCCTCCCATGGGAGACTTAGGTCTCAGACACTCCCTAAAGAGGGAACCAAGGCCGGGCCACCACTTGGAAAAGGCCCGGGCCGGGAGAATACCGGCAAATCTTCAATAATAATAATAATAATAATAATGGAGCTGCCTCGCATAGACCAGTAGACCTGTTGCAGTGTTCCTTATTTCTTATGTTGTTATGAGGGCAAATATTCTATTAGTGGGATGGATCTGTGAAGGACCTGCTTAGTATGGGCCAACAGGCCTGCTGCAGTGTTCCTCCTTGCTTATGTTCTTATGTACTGTATCCCGTGGCCTGGTAGGCAAAGCTCTCGCTTCACACGTTAAGTGTCAGTGGTTCAATTCCCGGCAAGGGTGCAATCACTGGGAGTGTTTCCATACACCTGTTGTCCCGTTCACCATTCTGGGGGACACGACTGAGGACCCCCAATGGAAATACGACAGACAGTCCCTCGATGATGCACTGCCTTTCTTGGGTTATCCAGGGTGGCTAACCCTCTGGGGTTAAAAATACAAATGAAATCTTATCTTATCTTACTTATTCAAGAATGCCTAATGAATGAAGTTGCACTAATTATATTATATACACGGAGATGTGTGTGTGTCTCTCAGCGTGTAACGGTTAAGAGTTTGCTGTATTAAAGCATTCTTGCCGGGTGGTAAACAGGCTAGGTATAGTCTCGATAATCTTCAAGGATCCCAATGGAAATAAGTCATTTCGTCTGACTCTATCGGTTAATCTTAGGTAATTTAGACATATGTTCATATGTATGAAAATTGTAATCGCCTTAATTTGCATAACAGAACACAGAGAGTAGTCGTCAACAGAGTAAAGTCCGAGGCAGCTACGGTGAAAAGCTCTGTCCCACAAGGCACAGTACTAGCTCCCATCTTGTTCCTCATCCTCATATCCGACATAGACAAGGATGTCAGCCACAGCACCGTGTCTTCCTTTGCAGATGACACCCGAATCTGCATGACAGTGTCTTCCATTGCAGACACTGAAAGGCTCCAGGCGGACATCAACCAAATCTTTCAGTGGGCTGCAGAAAACAATATGAAGTTCAACGATGAGAAATTTCAATTACTCAGATATGGTAAACATGAGGAAATTAAATCTTCATCAGAGTACAAAACAAATTCTGGCCACAAAATAGAGCGAAACACCAACGTCAAAGACCTAGGAGTGATTATGTCGGAGGATCTCACCTTCAAGGACCATAACATTGTATCAATCGCATCTGCTAGAAAAATGACAGGATGGATAATGAGAACCTTCAAAACTAGGGAGGCCAAGCCCATGATGACACTCTTCAGGTCACTTGTTCTATCTAGGCTGGAATATTGCTGCACTCTAACAGCACCTTTCAAGGCAGGTGAAATTGCCGACCTAGAAAATGTACAGAGAACTTTCACGGCGCGCATAACGGAGATAAAACACCTCAATTACTGGGAGCGCTTGAGGTTTCTAAACCTGTATTCCCTGGAACGCAGGAGGGAGAGATACATGATTATATACACCTGGAAAATCCTAGAGGGACTAGTACCAAACTTGCACACGAAAATCACTCACTACGAAAGCAAAAGACTTGGCAGACGATGCACCATCCCCCCAATGAAAAGCAGGGGTGTCACTAGCACGTTAAGAG